GGAAAATTACTGCACTGTTTTAAGAATGTGGGAAGTGTCAGAAATGCAGGCATGTTAGCCTTTTTTAAACTGTGGTCTTGTAAATGTGCATTTTCATCAGAGAACTTTGTAATGGTTGGACTTTTGCAAACTTTAGGAAAGGAATACAGTTAACTGTGTGCATTTGAGAGCAATATTCTTTTTTACCGTCAGGTGGTTGCATCATTGGGGATTTAAAATTTTGTAAATATCATGTAAAATCTGTATATGATGATCATTCCCTGTATATATACTATCCATTATCTGAGTATGTATTAGAACTGCTCCTTGGAATAAATACTGGTTCTCTGTAGCTGCACGGATCATGTTTATGGCACGGGATAAACAACTCTAAGTCAGCATGTTGGGTGTCCTTAGGCTTGTGTTCTTGGTAGATTTGCACACAGGTAGGTTTGTGTTGTGGTTTAACCTCAGCTGGCACCTAAGCCACACAACTGCTTGATCACTTCCCCCCTCCCTCAGTGGGGAGGAAAATTTGGAAAAAAAGGTAAACCTCATGGGTTGAGATAAGAACAATTTAATAGCTGAAACCAAATATGATTATGATGATGATAATAGTAAGGGGAGGGAGAGAGAAAGTAAGCGATGTACTACTGCGTGGCCAGCTTTTGGTAGTGGTGATGGCTTCTGTGAGAAGCTGCTAGAAAATTCCTCCATATCTGACAGCCAGTGCCAGCTGTCCAGGATGGACCCACTGCTGGTCAAGGTTGGGCCAGTCAGAAATGGTGGTAATGCCTCTGTGATAACATATTTAAGAAAGAAAAAAAGTTACTGCACAGAAATAGTTGTGGCCAGAGAAGAGCAGAGTGAGAATATGTGAGAGGAACAACTCTGCAGACACCAAGGTCAGTGGAGGAGGAGGGGGAGGAGGTCTCCAGGCGCTGGAGCTGAGGTTCTGCAGCCCATGGTGAAGCAGCTGTCCCCCTGCAGCCCATGGAGGTCCACAGGGGTGCAAAGATGCAGCTGCAGCCCGTGGAGGAGCCCACGTCAGAGCAGGTGCCCAAAGGAGACTGTGACCCCATGGGAGGCCCATGCTGGAGCAGGGTCCTGGCAGGGACCTGTGGACCCATGGAAAGAGGAGCCCGCGCTGGAGCAGGTTTCCTGGAAGGACTTGTCACCCTCTGTGAGACCCATGCTGGAGCAGCTTGTGCCTGAAGGACTGCACCCTGTGGAAAAGTGACCCATGTTGCAGAAGTCTGTGGAGAACTGTTGCTTATGAGATGGACTCATATTGGAGAAGTTTGTGAAGGACTGTCTCCTGTGGGAGGGACCCCACACTGGAACAGGGAAAGGACTCTTCTCCCTGAACAGTGGCAGGAATGTGTGATGAACTGACTGTAACCCCCATTCCCCATCTCTCTGCAGCACTGGGTGGGAGGAGGTAGAGCCTAGGAAGGAGGGAGGGGTGGGGGGAAGGTTTTTTTAAGATCTAATTTACTTCTCATTATCCTGCTCTGATTTTATTAGTAATAAATTCAGTTAATATCTCCCAAGTTCAGTCTGTTTTGCCCATGACAGCGATGAGTGATCGCTCCTGATCCTTATCTCAACTCATGGATCTTTCCCTATGTTTTCTCTCCTGTCCACTTGCAGAGGTGAGTGATAGAGCGGCTTTGGTGGGTGCCTGGCATCCGGTCAGGGTCAGCCCACCCACAACACAACTCTCCTCCACCTGCTGACTGATACCCAGCTTGTCCCTGAGCAGCAGTCGCCCCCCTTCCATGTAACTCCCCCAGTTTATATACGGAGCCATGACATTCCATTGTACGGAATATTCCTTTGGCCAGTTTGGTCAGCTGTCCTGGCCATGCTCCCTCCCAGCTTTTTGTGTAGCTCTTCACTGGCAGAGCATGAAACACTGAAAAGTCCTTGACTTAGGATAAGTACCACTTAGCAACAACCAAAACATCAGAGTGTTCGTGAGAACATTTTTCTCATACTAAATCCACGCTACTGAGAAGACTATGAACTCTGTCCCAGCCAAAACCAGGACACTTTGTTAAAGAAGGAATTGTCACCGTATTTGGATTTTTCATTCATTAAGATCTCAAAAAGTTGAAACTTCCATTTATATAGAGTGGAAAATGAGCTTATATGGAGTTTGCTGGCATGGATTGTTCTGCAATGGATCATTTAAATCAGCATATTAATGTCTAATAATACAGCTGAGTGTTCTACATATAAATATGTATATGAAGAAACTACTGAACTTTATTGTCCTTTTCCTTATGATGACACATTTTAAGAAGAAATTTATGATCGGATGTATGAGCATAGAGCTAATTTGCATGCTTTTTCTGTTTCTTTAGTACATTTACATCTTCTTTATGGAAGCATAAAGAGCTTCTGCTACTTGATATTTATGAAGCCACTGCATAGTTAACAACGGATCCTTCCCTTTCTTCTTCCAGGTGTATGCCTTAGAGGTGAACTCTTGTTTTTTATAGTAAATCTCCTCTCTATAGCCTGATATGTTTTTAAGTTTACTTTGAACAATGGTCTGAAAAAAAATCTCATCTTTGTGCTTTTTGTTGTAATAGTACCAGGAATAATTTGTTATATGTGCTTTGAGAAATTGTCAGAAATATTTGAACTTAGGAGGCAAGAACCTGAAGAACATACTTCTTTTGTGCCTTAGATTATAATAAAATCTTGTGACTCTTTGGTTACCTTTTGTAGTCCCTGGTGTAGTATTTTACTAATGTACACACACTCGTTCTTCACTGTTGATGAGATTAGGAAGAAATAAACATGTTGGTTCTTCTGTCAGGATTACATGAGAAAAACATTGAATTACTATTTTCAAGTCAGCAGAAACTTATCTTCTGCTTGATGAAGTACAGAACTGTTGATGCAGCTGCTGAACACTTAATTGGTTGGCCAGTATGATGTGCCTTCCTCTGCATGTGCAACCTACAAATAAAATGGAGCCATGCAGGTTCTGAGGTTTGGGATATGCCTGAAACAAGATCTCAATCTCAGCTTTGCTACCTACTAGTCAGACTCCTTAGTAGAGTGTCCGACTTGCAGTATTAGATAGCTGTGGGATCATTTAAAGTGAGAGAAATTGTTACTGTGTGCCATGAGCCAGGAGGTGCATAAGGAAAATTTTGAATGTACGAAGAACTGTTGGTAGAAGTATGGAGGAACAGATGTGATACAGAGCATATGGTCTGTGCTTTCAGGCATGCTGGCCTCGATGTAGCTCTCTTCATGTTCCAGGTGAAGCATGAAGGCTCTCTAGGTTAAGGGTCTTGGCACTGACCTGCTGGAAACATGAGCACGTGGGAATGTAGTTCAAGGGCTCAAGAATTGATGTGGGTGGTATCAGGATTATTACTAAGTGATGACAGTCCCTAAGCAGGGGTAAAACGGAGCTGGTGAAGGAGGGGAAAATCTATACATAGGAATATTGTCCATTTTCTGAAGGGGCTAACTAGCAAAAAAACCTCTCATGAATATGCACCACAAAAAAGTGTAAGGGGCCACCCACCTGGGGTGTTAGGGCAGATGCAGTGGGGGATTTTGAAGACAGCACACCTCTAGATATTACCTTTCCTCTTATCCCAGGTCCTTTCTTGCTGCTGCGGTTTGTTTGCCTTACCACTTGAATTGCAGAGCTCCTTGTTAGGAATCATAGGAGCAGACAGGACTGGGACTTGTTTGCTCCATGTTGATAATGCTCTTGCAGCTTAGAATGGGAATAATGCTTTACTTGTGCTGAATACCCCACTTGTCCTTGAACTTTGGACATGTTTATACAGAAAGGCGCCTTTCATGATTACCACTGCCTTTTCAAGCAGCTACACCAACACAGGGCTCCTCCAGCAGCAATTGCAACAAGCAGTGGCAGTCTTGGGTAGGGGCAACAGCTCCTGTAGGCAGTTGTGTGGGGGTATTAACTGTGTGAGTGCTCTCATTTCTACTTGTCTTTTAATAAATCTGCAAACTGTGTCTAAATGTCTTCTGGGTGAATTAAATCCCTTTTCAGATTCCTGCCACATGAAATAGTACAGTCTTAAGTTCTGTCTGCCAGCTGCTCTTCTTTTTCACAGTAATCTCCTGGTCCTGTAGTTTTATTTTGCAGCTGTGTAAATAACTCATATGTGCATCCTCCTGTGGTTGTATTTCCTTGTTTTTCATTGTACAAACAGCACCGGTAGCGGTGGGGTGGCTGCAGGAACAGAATCACTGCTCAGTGACATAATTGCAAATTGATTTACCAAGCAGAGTGAGTATAGTGGATCGACTTCAGTTTCTAATCAGCGGCTACGGTGTGCACACTTGGCAAATGAGGTCCTGGCTGGTGACCTGGACCTGCTGCCTGGTGGTTGCAATGCATGCTCTGCTTAGTTAAGGTGCCTGATGATTGTGTACATCCCTTTCCAGCTGGCTTTCAACTCGTGCCTTCCAGAGTGGCAGTATAAACTGCCAAGAGCCTTCCTAATCATGTAGTCCCAAACTGTTATCTGGGAATTTCTTATTAGTCTTAGGCAAATTAGCAGTCAGGGCAGGGGTGTCCCACACCCTCTGGTTTCTGGTTCCAAGTGCCTTAGGGAAGTGAAAAGCTAGCAAGTGTCACAGTAAACAGTTGATCTATCACCTCTTTCTTTTTTCTATTCATACGGATCAATGTCATCACAGTTGGCCGATCTTAAGGTCGCATTTATCCGAGCCATGTTTTTGGGTGGGCTTTACCGTCTGACAACGAAACCGAAGGCCTGTGCAGAGCATTTTTAACATGCCTCCCGTGGGCCTTGCCGAGCACCGGCTTCGGGTCTGCCGCGATTCCCAGATCAAATTTGAACAGGAGGTGTGACTCGGGCTGGCAGGTTACCAGCTTCAGGGCCAGCCGCGTAATGTAATGAGATTGGGCCCGATGTGGGCGTTCCTCGGGGAGGGCCGAGGTACCGGTGTGCGGGGGGTGCCCCAGACGTTCTGTCGGGTGTGGGATCACCGGCACCGCCCCGACACAGGCCGCGGCCTCTCCGTGTCGGCGGGCGCGGGGCGGGGCCGGGGGAGGGCTGTCCCGGCTGCACCGCCCCGGCTGCGCTCGGCCTGGGCCCGGCGCGGTGCCGCTGGCGGCGGGGAGCGCCATGGCGCTGGTGTCGGCGCTGAAGCAGATGTCGTGGCTGTACTACCAGTACCTGCTGGTCACCGCGCTCTACATGCTGGAGCCCTGGGAACGCACCGTTTTCAGTATCCTTCTGGCGGAGTGTGTGTGTGCGCGGCGCTGGGGGCTGCCCACCGCCCCCGCTCTGCCCGGCGGCGGCTCTGGGGCTGCCCCGAGGCGGCCGGGCGGGTGTGGCGGCTCCGCCGGGCCGGCGGGCGCGGTGCCGGGGTTGCGCCTCGGCCGTGGCCATGCTGAGGGCGCTGCCCCGGCGGGGCTTGCTGGGCGTGGAGGAGAGTCGGGTCGGGCCGGGCCGGGAGGGGAGCGGCGCGGGGCCGGGGGCAGCCGGCCTGAGGCGCCGAGCGCGGCCGGAGCACGCAGTGGGCAGAGGAGCGGCAGCCTCCGCTTGGAACCGAGCCTTGTCCCCTCCTCACAGGCAGGGGTTCAGCTCCTCTCCCTCCCAAACTAATATGTTGCCCGATCTGGGAATAATCCTCATTCAGCTGTTTCGCATCCCGTGTCCGGGCGTCTGGCGACCTAGTTCGTTTCTCCTCCAGCACAAGTTTATATCTCTAGAGTTATGGCAGTTCCGGCTTTTGTACTGAAATCCCGAGCTTTTTTGTTAAGGTGTCTTTAGTGTTTTCTGTTGTATTTTTGCCTAGAGGAAAGTAAATGTGCACGCTGCAAAACCTTGCAAGCCTAGGTTTTCATGGTGCTTTGTCTTGTGGCTTTTCTTACATGGGTATTTAATCCTCGAATTGTTAAGTTTGTCTCTTTTGGAGTGGAAGAACTTGATAGATGCTCATGTAAAGGCATCTGTATCAAGACTATTTACAGGTTTTCTTCTTTACCTGGTCTTTTTTTAGCAGTAGTATATTTTCTCAAGTATTGTTATGGCGTTGCAAGTATTTCTCTCTGAAGCGTGGCTGTTTTGATCTTGACTTAAAACGATATTTCAGTGTGAATGACCCTGAGCCATCTCCAGTTAACGCTGAGGCAAAGAGAAATGAATGAAAACATTAACAAAGAGAAGGGTGTAAGTAGTAGTGAGAAGGTGCTTTTACTGACATACTGCTCAGTTCTGTAAAGAAACTCACTTTTGTTATGTAAGAGTGGTTGCCCAAGTTACAGTGGTGTGATCAGACATTTATTTTTTTCCTGTGTCAAGTCAGTAGAAATGGAGATTATAAAAACTTACTACTTTTCTAGTAGACTTACCATGCACAATTCTTTAGCTAGGGGTTCTTACCTTCAAAATGTATTCCTTGCTAACTAACCTTTCTCCTTTTGTGCCATTTATGTTTCACTGAGGAAACTTAATTTTTGTTTTCCCTGCAATTATATTAGTCGTGAGTATTTTTTTCCTTTTTAACTTAAGTGAAAGTGTATGCATATTTACTTTCATAAAATGCTCATATTGTAATTACCACATAACTGACAAATGTAATGAGTGGCACAAGTATCGCTTGTGATCTCAGATCAGCAAAATTTTTTTTTGTCCTTAGACCGGACTCTTTGGCCGTGGGTGAGCCATGTCTGCCAGGTGGTGTACGGCTGCAGCGCAGACACAACGGCCTTGGGAGCTAATGGTGTGTGGCTCTGCTGCGTGTCACACTGCTGCTTGTGCTCCAGCATCGGAGGAGAGCGCTGATACGGAAATGTGGATTTATGTGTTGACCTTCATTTTAGTATCTCTTACTGTCTTCCGGGACTATAAATACACTAAGCAGCTAGTATGCTCTAATAAGCACAGCTAATACCTCTGCTCTGCCATAGGGAAGTCAGTCATAGAGCGTTTGTTACGCTTGTGTGTGGTGACTTGATTTCACGAAGATGCAGAGCATGCACAGCTCCTCTGGTTTCACCTGCGGAAACTGAGTACTGCTGTCTGGGGTTATCACGCTTGTTAATCTCCAGTGCTTTTTATAGTGCTTTGGTCTAAGTTTACTGAATCTCTGCAGGTAGTTGGATGAAATCAACAGATTTTTATTAATTTCCATTATTTTTGAATTTCTGAAACCTTAAGCTTTCAGTGGTGTAATCTTTCAGTAATCTGATGTCTTTAGATAAAGCTTCAAGAGCCCTAGAGCTTGACAAAAGTCCAGTTGTACATATACTTATAAGCTATTGTCTCACTTCTGTTAGGCATGCAGCTAATAAAGTGGTCATCTTAAGATTTTTTAGATAATAGCTTCACGTAAAGTTTGTTTTGCAGTGTGATCTGCTATAGTAAAGTACTACTGATGGAGAAACGGACCAAATATTGTAGTGACTTAGAGCCCTAGAGGACATTGGAAGCTAGAAATGGATGTGAAGTTTCGTGACTATTATGCTAACAGTACAACTTTCACACCAGATGTGTTTTGTGCATCGTAAATTGAATTTCTTAGGTCATTCTATTCCAGGAAGTTGAGATCAGCATCTAATGCTGTCTGCTTAAAAATGAGGTCATCCACAAATAAGAATGGTAGTATTCAGTACAGCTATCATATTATTGTGGTTTTGTTTTGTTTTGGATTTTTGTGATGGTTGACTTTTTTCTGCTTGGCTGGATGGGGCTGGCTTCTGCAGAATTGCTCAACACCTAGGAAGATGCATGTAAAAACCTGTGTCTTCTAAGTGCCCATTTTTTGTTCTCCATCATGCTTCCTGTGCTCTGGCCTGTCCTCTTGTGTATGTGACAAGGCAGTGGATAACTTGCAAGGCATCCTTTGCAATTCAGCTAATTGCTTCTACCGGTGTTCTGGTTTTGGGTATTCAGTAGGTTCTTCCTATAGCTGTAATTTCTGAATGCAGTTGACCTTGTCTGATTGAAAAAGATAACATTATAAGATAGTAACCGGTAAAGTTTTAATGCTATAGTTTGTGATGTACTTCCTATTTCAAATGCTTTTTTCCTCAACTGTAATTCAGATTCCATGCTAGTTTCCATTGTTGGAATGGCACTCTACACAGGCTATGTGTTCATGCCTCAGCACATCATGGCAATATTGCACTACTTCGAAATTGTGCAGTGATGAAGAACCTATCTTCAAGAAGTAACTGGGCTTTGAAATCTGTTCTACAAAGAAGAATGAACCTCTTAGTTTTACCAAGATTTCTACCAATGTCCAAAAGACACGCTTATGACTCTGAAGACTAGGAAATGAGATATGTAGAGCAGGGACATGAGATGTGAGATGTCCCCTATGTTGTGTTCATTCCTTTTAATTTTACAAGATATGCTAGTTTTGTCTACTTTAACATTGTGATTGTACTTTGATATCAGTATTTTCTTAACTTTGTGACAGTTTCGATATTGCACTGTGAATGCTTTTCTTAATTGTAATTTTGAGTAAATCTTAATTGCCTTCTATTTTTAATCTGAAAGTCATCTTATTAAATGGGGCTTAAAGCTTTTGCTATTGTATGGTATGTATTTGCTTGGAGATTTCTATTAATGCGTTTTGTAAGAAAATACATCTAGATTCATATTAGAGACATGGATATATTCGTCTAACGCTATTTACAGAAGTTAGTTTGTATGACCGAACTCAGGTGTACTGTTTGCTGTCCAAACTTTGTTCAAACATATATTTGTGCATATCACCTAAATTTGGAATTGGCCATTATTTCAATCTTCTGTATTCTACCTGTTGGAGAAGACTGGGGGAGATGAGGCACTGAAGCGGAGTGAAGACTGCATTTGTTACGTTTCAAGTAGTGTTGTAGTTCTCGGCTTTATCTAGTGGGGGAAAATGGACTTTACTGGCATAGGCCCACATAAGGCTTTGGGTTAGCATTTTAAATCAACCCTGTTTTTCTAGCTGCCAATTCAATTGTAATTTTACAGGATACTTTATTATGTTCCAATGATTATGGTTTCTGCTAATTTTCACTCAGCAGTGTAACTATGTCTAGGTTTTAAAGGGGTTTTCTATTGCTGCTAGTATTCCAAACATGTTTTCGCTACAAACGACCAAAACACAAGGGTTTCAATGGACTTGAGTTACAACTACAGCAATAAGTAGCTGAATACTTGGCTGAAGTCCTGTCTTTTTTTTTAATAGGGATTTTTTTCAGTTTTGTATTCTGAAATGTAAGATGGTGACAACTTTCTTAAGTGGACAATTTTTTGTTGTTGTTGTTGTTTAAAAAATAAAGGTTTAAAAGCAGAGTTTTGATGCAAAACTTTCTTAGAGAAGTTAATATGTTTCTGAATGCTGCTTGCTTTTCTCAGAACTTTCCAAAAGGGGAACAGTGATACTTGACCAAAGTACTGTGATTTTAATGGCCCAGTAATAATATGTACTGCTATATCTTTTATGCAACTTCTGTTGAAATCAGAAATTATAGATGTACCTATAGAAATACTTGCCTTTTAGGTTTCTTTAATTTTCTCAAAATTTTTCTTATGAGAAAAGAGTGTTTTTCTCCTTTATTTAAAAACTTCATGTGTATTCGATTAAAAACCCTGTTGTTTTGGAAGCTATAAACAGTGAGCCTTAAACTTCTTAGGTGAACCTGAGCTTTCCTAAGTTGGTAGGAGTCTCCCTCTAAATTAGTGCTTTCACTTATTAGTAACTGGCTATCAAAACTTGGGTAGGTTTTTGGGGTGGTGTTTTTTTGTTATTGTTTGTGGTGCTTTTTTGTGGTTTTATTTAACTGTATCCAGAGTTGTGAGTGTTTTAAGCATATATGGAGTTAATGATAAGTTAACATACTCTTTTTGAAGTAACATAGTATAAATCTGATCTCTCTGAGGACTAAGTTGATGCTGTGATATTTCTTTGCAAACTACTACCATGATTGATAGCCCCTTTCTCAGCAGTAGATGTATTATTTGTATGAGGGGAAAAAGCCTTTCTGTGTGGTGGCATTAGAAATGTTAAGCATGATTTTTAATTGTTAAAGGTTTTATAAAAAAGCATTGATATACGGACTTTTGTTAACTGTCTGCTTTTTGTTGAGAATCACTTTCCAATCATTTGCGTTATGTTGGCTTGGGCGATATACTTGAATTCAATTTCTAATTTGAGTACAGTCTTTTTCAGCATTTCTTTTAGTATAAATCAAGAATCTCATAGTCCTGGACTGTTCTTTTTAGATTCTGGATACTTCGCTAAAGATGGAATAATTTAATTAATAAAATGCAAAGTGTTATTAGAGTTTGAATTTCTAGAAGAATGTTTCTGCAGTGTCTCCTTTTCTTAAGGTTGATGTAGTGAAGAGATGGTTCAAGTGGTGATAATTATGAAGCAGAGTAAGTTTTCTTTTTTTAAAGTAAGGGTATCGGTAGGGATTTAATTAATCATTACATTTGAATAATAAATGAATCATACGACTAACAAATTGTTTTCCCCAGTCTGTTTTATTGTCATATTAGCTGGGGGATCATGTCTTCTGTGATAGAGCCATAAGCTTTTTCTGTGCAAGCTGGAGGTCAAAGGCAGTTTAAATACCTTTTGGAGGCAGCTGGTCAATTTTACTTTTGTTTTTTGATAACAGTTAAGCCATTAGTAATTTAGATAAAGTTGAAAAAAAACAATTGTGAGAAATGAGAAAAAAAATCACCTGAGAAACCTGCAAGTTTATGTTAGTCTTTTAATAGCAATAGCTCTCGTGGTTTAGACCAAGTAATTAGAAATAAGCATTTAAAAATGCATTAAGTGTGTCATAACAGACACAGTTATCATAACTGATAATTCCAGCTACGTGGGCCAGCCCCCCTGCGGCAGGCAGACTCTATGCCAGGGCACCCCGCCCGTGCAGGGTGTCTTGCTGTGCTGGCAGCCCTGGGTCTCCCAGAGCTGGCTCTGCAGAGGCTCCTTGGCTGCCTCCAGGGCTGGGTACTGTAGAATAACTCATTAAAAACCTTTGCAGAAGGAGCTGCCGTAACCAAAACAGGCATAGTATTGCAGGAAGTCAGGGTGGAGCCAGAAACAGATCCAGGACCTGTGGGTATGTATGGCTTGAAATAGTTATATCTTTTAAAATAAATATATGCACAGACACTGTTTTTTTCTTTTATATGTATATAGATATACATAAACTGTTTATTTCTTATCGAAAGTTATTACATAGCAATTAGTTTGGAGACAGAGGCTGTCGGGTTTCTTTTCTCATTTCTTTACTCTGGGAAGGAAAACACCAGAGAATCCTAAAGTGAGACTTTCTTGAGAAAATTCAATAAGAAATCCATTTGTATATCCATCAGTATTAAAAATAAATAGATGTAAAAAGAGCATAGGAGCTGTAAAGGTGAATCTTGTGTGATAGATGGGCATTACGTTACTGCAAATTGGTGCAACTGTATATGCTTCACTGCTGTGAAGTGTTGCCCAGTTCCATTCAGGTGCAGTAATGAAGTGTGCATTGTAAATGCTGAAGAAGAGGTACCTGCTTTTGGCTAACAACAAATAAAGGTTATATTGAGGTGAAGAGACACAACTTGAAGAGATTGGGTACCATGGGATGAGTGGGCTGTGCACAAAGCTGTGGAGACAGCAGCCATCCTCTAAAATACCAGAGGAGCATACTCTGGAATTGGGACCTCTGTAAAGGTTTTCAGTGCCAGAAGTTCCTTTCAGCTGCTTATTTGCCCATGTTTTCTGCAACTGCTGTTGTAGGAAGACAGTTGCTTCCCCTCTTGTTGATGTGTTATCCTGATACCAGTGTAGTGCTTTTGTTGGTTTTTTTTTTACAGACAAAATCAACCTGAATATTTCATGCATGGTTTCTCTGTTTGATCTGTTAGACCCTCCCTAAACAGCAGTCATCACTGAGCACAAAAGCTGCTGTCTTTTCTGGCTTTTGTTTGTGTAGTGATGGTTTAAGAAGAAAATCTGGCATCATAGACCAGACCTGGATCCACCCTCCTCTTCTTGTAATGGGGAGAGATGAAACTCTAGATCTGTTCTAAATTTCAGCATGGAATTTTGGCAGAAACCTCTCTGCTTTTCATAAATCAGCAAATCATCACAAGATCCTCAATGCATCCCAACTAGCATTGCATGATGGAATAATAAGAAGTTATGAATATCCACTCTCTCTGAGAGTTTAGCTGGATAAGAGTTGAATAGGCCTTGAGAAAACCTGATTCAATTTCTTAAGGAAATACCGATTTCTTAAGTAAAGTAAAAGTTGAACTGTTTCTTCACAATAATTTTGCAATGGCAACCAGTGTCTTATCTCAAACACTACAAGTACTTACAATTAAATAAAAGGGAGAATTGCATTATGCAACACCTTATCACTAAATTTAACATTTATTATTTATTATTTATTATTAATTATTATTTATTATTTATTATTTAACATTTAACACAATGTTCAGTAGCTGGGAGGTGGCCTTGGCTGAAAGTCAGACTATGCTGCTGCACCTTTTGTGTTGCTCTTGTGGTGTCTCTGAGCTATCCGCCACATATGCTTAACAAAATACACCTTATTCATGAGTGGACTTCCCATTGTTTAAAAAAAAACCAAAAAACTGCAAAACCAAACTACCTTTAAGACACTGTCTAGCACTTTATTTTGTTGGTAGTACTGCTTATTTTATTAGTGAAAAAATGATACTATATATGTATAATTTATAAGCTGCATCTGTTTATGGATCAAATAGTTAGACTTTATAATATGAATTGAGGCATGCTTTATCTTGGAAAGAGCCCTATTAAGTATTGGAGACTCTTAATTTACACTTAGAACAGTTCCCTGTGTTTTGCTGTTGCAAAGGTTTATGGCCGCAGAAACATGTAACTCCTTGACTATTTGGAACCTAATAAAGAGATTCTACTTTCCTATGTGGAGAAGACCCTCTGTTAATAGCATTCTTAATTCAGGAGGAATTTTTTTATTCTAATCTAAAATTGCTTCATTATGTGAAATCAAAGGGAAGGTTCATACAGTGAAATATTGATACCAAAGATGAGAGACTGAAAATGAAAATTGTGTCTTTGGACAGTGAAAGGATGAACTGAGGGATGAAAATTCTTTTACAAAACTTCTGGTTTTTGTGAAACTTAAACCTATATGAAATATTTTTTCCTGATGTTTTGAAAAAAGTAGGAGTTATTTCCCTAAATAGAAAGTGTAGCCTTGTTTTGAAATCTGAAGCTGATACCTGCGCTAAACCCCCAAACTACTAGCAGTAAATATTTTATGTAAATATAGCAGTTACCAAGCTAGGAGCTACCTTACATTACAGAACAGTTGGTATAAGGGGTGATAGTACCTCATGGTTAGACTGTGTGGTTGTAATGTGTGGACCTATGGATTCACCTGGGTTAGAGATCCTTCGTGTCATAAAGGCAACCCCTAGTACCAGTAGGATGTGACTGATTTGTTCATTTAGAGGTTTGTAGTGATGGCGTTTGGTATTAAAGACTAAATAATCATTCTAAAGGCTTTACTGTTAGATCTCGTGGTTCAGAAACAGAAGTTTTGATTAAATAAATTAATGGGAAAACCAGGAATAATAAATTAATGGGAAAACCTCAACACCTGTCATAAGCTAGATAGATAATTGTGGAGCAGTAATCACTAAATTGGATATAGGACATGCCAGTTGCAGACAGATAATCATGCAGCAGTAAGCACTAAATTGGATATAGGATGTGCCATTTCTAGGTACAACCCAAACATTAAAAATCTTGGAATAGGCTGTGTATCTATGCAGGAAGCAGCTATCCTCTGTGTTGGTGATCATGGTGGTGATTTTCTGTCACAGCCTATTACTGGCTGAAATGTGCTTTTACAGGTTAACAGGAGACTCTTTCGTTGATCTTCTGTTGCTCTTTCTTAACCTTGAAGGGTGTGTTCTGTATATGATATCAATCTTGTCACTGCAATAAGTTTCATTAGCCTGGATTTATGTTGTGGGCATTTTAATGGTGAAAAGGTGACTGATTTTTGTAGGTGTCTCTTTTAGGCTTTACTGCTTGAGGTTTGGAAATGAAGCATATGATTGATAAACTGCTTACTACTATCATCCCACAAAAAAAGAAAAAAAAAAGAATCATAATGTTTCTTTTACCTTTTAAAGAAGGTATCCAGATAATGAGATGTTTGAGGAAGAAGCCTGAGATTCAATTTATAGTCATAGCTGGTTGCTTTTTTATTGAAACTGATAGTTCTTGGATATGACTTCCTAAACCTGAATGTTCCTGTACAAGCTCCTTGACCTATCTCATAGTTGGAAATAACAGGTAATCAACACTTTGCTAATATTCACACAGTTACAAGCATCATGTCTGACATATCTGGTTTTTATTCATGCCTATGTCTGCAGGTGGAATTCTCTTGGCATATTTTGCATTTTGTGTTCTCTGCAGTTTGAGATGGACAGCGTATTTCTGGCCCGTGTTTCACAATGGCAAGACGACACACTAGCCCCCAAAGAACTTTTTTGGGAAAAAAATTATATTGGCAATGATTGATATTTTTTGTCTTTTCTGTGAAATTTGTTTGTGTCTACTGAGGCAGAAAAGCTGAGTTTTTATGATCACGTAAGAATTTAAACCAAAAATCTTCTATCCAAGGTTTATCTTCCTTTCCTGCTTTTGTAATGATCGGTTGTTGTCCTCTCTTCCTTTTGGATTGTTTTTTCTTTGAGATGTTCTTGCTTCATATACTGCAAAAAGAAAGAAATGAATGCCTCAGAACATATTTTTTAGTGATGCTATTTAATACACGCTGGTAAGGTTATGAAAGTCTGAAAGATGTCTTTGAATAAAATAGTCTTTCTGGCATAACAGGATTGTGCTGTCAGATCATCTATGGGGCAATCCAAAGGCATGCATGGTCTGAATTTGAGTATCTAGTTACATGTGCTAGACTACTGACAGCTTATTTTGCTTATGTTATGTTAGCAGCTCAAAACAAACATTTTTGAGAGAAAGCCTCCTGTGATGCATCCCAGGGCTCAAGAAGTTTATATGCTTGGGTAGTACTTTGACTTTTAATCAGAATAAGCACATAGTTCCCAAACTCAGGATTGAATTAGTGGGTGATTATATGAACTGGAGTATGCGTTAAAAAAATATTTTCAAAACACCTGTGTTGTTTTACAGTATTTCGGTAAGCTAGACAAAAAAGTAATGCTCAGCTCGGAGGGACTGAGGATAAAATGTGCATTCTGTTTGTCTTAGACAAACAGGGACTTCTGAACTGGTGTC